ATAAATACTCTTTCATTTCCAGAAGAAGAAGGGGGAAAAACCTCACAGGTTGTAGGGGAAACACTATTTAAAGTCTCCGGGCCTCAGAGACAGAATGAGTTAGAGAATTGTCGTGAATTAAATGAGGCATATAAGAGCTGATGCAGCTCTGCAAATTACACAGCTAATAGAAGAAGCCGAACAGAAGAATTGAAAATGCCCAAAAGGGGCTACAGATAAAGGAACCCCACAGCTGCCGTCAGCTTTGCTGATGTAATAATATAATAGACTGATTTCTTTCCTGAAAGAACTTTAGCAGGAGAAAAAATACAATTAAGTTTGCTGGGGAATGCTGCAGATCAAACATATTGCTCTCTCTAGGCAGCAGAAGTCGCTACCCTGTCTATATCAATCAACAGGATTTCACTTCATAATCAGAGTAGCCTGAGATTTTTTATTTAAATCAAAGTGGGATGATTACAGACACTGCAATATGATTAAACCGTCCGGCCTGCGGTTTAATGGACCTGGAACTGAAATTAGAAGCAGATTCATTGGTATAATTTTGAATAGGTGGCAGATAATTAAGTGGCTCTTATACTGACTCATGAGAACATTCATTTCACATTAAAGTCTGCATGGGGTGAGAGTTGCCAATGTTAGGATGGAATTGGTATAAACCTGTGATGGATATGGAAATTTGGCTTCTAAAGTTCCATTGAGATAAATGGTTTGCACATGGTGTTCTTCCTCAAAAACTCAGCAGGTGTTCCTCTCAATGAGAAGATATAATCATCATCATCATCATCATCATCATCATCATCATCTTATCTGTATGCCACCTTTCCATAGCTGAAACTATGCTCAAGGTGGCTTATAACATGACAAGATTTACATAATTACAAACATAACAGAAGTCACAAACAATAAATAAAACACATCAAAAAGGACACAACCAAATGGAAACAATTTCCACGTAAATCATAAGATCTAAAACTAAAGATACAACAATAATATCAATAACAGCTCTTTCAACGTAAACAATATTCCAGCCCAAGAATCTGTTCAGCAGTCTCACCTTTTGTAGCTGGAGTCAGTCAGCACTCCACTCTCCCAGGCAGGATGGGAAAGGGTCAGCAAGGCAGGGTGCAGGTCTTCCAGGGCTCACAGCCAAGATGGTCTCATTTAAAACAACACAGATAAAAATTTAAAAGCAGCTGCAGTCCTTGTGAGGCCTGTCAGGCCCCGCCCCAAGCCAGGTGCAAAGAGGCAAGAGCAGGGTCTTTTAGGCCCTCAGCCGGCAGTCCTCCTGATATGTGATGATGTAGCAGTTCGGCAGAAACACAGCTTACCTGTCACTTTCGATCATCTCTCACAATGCATGGCTACTAGTGTTAGATTGTGGCCTCCTAAACGGTCATGGCTTCTGCCACAGAATCCTGGGACCTGTACTTTGTTATTGGTAGGACATTCCCAGTCCTACCTGGAGAGGCCAGGAATTGAACCCCGAACCTTCTGCATGCAAAGCACATGCTCTACCGCAGAGATGTTTGACAATCATCCATTAATTGCTCTAATAATTGAATGAGATTTATCATACTTTTAAGTGCACGTACAAATGACACCTACATGATATTACCATTCTTCCAGGTCTCGGCCTGACCGAATCGTTGTGAAGTCTCGATGTTACAAAGCTGAGAAGCAAAGGCACCAAGCATTAGAGTAAGTAAGCACCAGAACTTGCTCAGATGCCCCCCTCCAACATGCAAGAGTTTGTTTGAATGACTGTATATGTGTAAGATTGGATTTGCTCAGTGCTTTTATTTCTGAAGGTATTCAAGGGAACACAATCCTGGCACCATTTTTCTAGGAAAAAAGCACTGGTTAAAAATGTAACACTTACCGTAAAGACTTCATGGTAAGTACCGACACCTTTTTTCTAGAAGAAAAGCACTGAGTTTACTGTATTAAATTAGAAAGGAAAATTGAAGTGTAGGTGGGTTGCCACAAGGCAACACACAGTGATAACAGCAAGAACCTTTATTGAACTAACAGAACAGGACAACAGGATCAAAGCAACTGCTTATATACATTTCTGAAGGCTTGGGCCACTCCCACTCCCAACGTGATTGGCTGTCTAAACTTCCAAACTGCGAATCATAACTCAGAGTTCAAGGGCCAGTGGCAGAGGCCCAAATCCTGAAATGTTCTGTGGTTGGATATCATGTATCGAATCAGAACACAGGGGCTCAGAATCCTTGGTCCAGACTCAAGCTCAGGCAAACACAGACCACTGAATACGTAACAAAAACGGCACTTTCTCTGTAGTCACTAGTTTGGGGTCAGGAAATCTCCACAGACTGGCAGGCCTGTGCGGATCTTCTTTGAAGGTGTTTTGTTAGAATAAAGTTACAAACTCAAGCCAAATGGCAGCTGGTTCCTGGCAGGGGCCCCTGGCTGGCTTAGCTCTCTGAAGCCTAAGACAAGTGCCCTTATGCCTGCAGACTGAGGAAGGAAATGCACATTGGTAGCTGGGGACAAAAGTTATGGTTGATGGATTACAGAAACAGCAGGAGGAATGGCGCATGACAGATTGCTATTGTTGCTTGGGGATTACAGCAAAGAGAGTCTTTTTTCTCCTAGACTTCATTTCTGCATAGTTGTGTGAGTTGGGTTGCCATAGTTAAAAAAGTGAAAATCCAGACATTTCGCTGATTTCCACCCAGACACTGCTTGCAGCTGCAGTATTCCGGATACATCCAGGAAATTCCAGATGTTTGGCAACCTTATGTGTGGGGGGACTTTAAAGCAGTGGTGCAGGAACAGGAAGGGAGCTTCACTCGGTCACTCTTCTGCTCATAGCAGGAGTGATAACATCATCCGCTAGTGCAGTATTTGCCAATGCTGTAAGCTTAAGGGTGTGCATTGCGGCATGGTGCCCATTCGGTAGGCTGCAAGCCAGGGAGGCCAACAGTAGGTGGTGCTAGAGCCAATGGCAGGTGCAATCACAACTGATGCTAGTTTTCTCCCCACCCTCCTCCCTGTTGAGCTCTATAAAGGCAACACTGAGGCCACATTCCCACTATCCATTTGAAGCACAATGATAGCACTTTATAAGTTATGGCTTCCTCCAAAGAGCTTCAATTCCCAGAGTTCTGTGGGAAGAAGGATTGATTGTTAAGCACTCTGGTATCATAGTGCTTTAGTGGATGGTGGGAATGTGGCCCTAGCTAGAACATATTGATAGGATCCTAGAATTTGCAAAATAAATCAGGGTGTGTAAAGAGAAGTTATTACTGTATTTTTTGCTCTATAAGACGCACCAGACCACAAGATGCACCTAGTTTTGGGAGGAGGAAAACAAGAAAAATAATATTCTGAATCTCAGAAGCCAGAACAGCAAGAGGGATCGCTGTGCAGTGAAAGCAGCAATCCCTCTTGCTGTTCTGGCTTCTGGGATAGCTGTGCAGCCTGTATTTGCTCCATAAGACGCACACGCTTTCCCCCTTACTTTTTGGGAGGGAAAAAGTGAGTCTTATTGAGCAAAAAATACGATATATTAATATGAAAAACATGGAATAAGCCTCTTGGTGTCTTTTAGACTTTGATTGATGGTTAAAGTTATGGTTTAACTGAAACACTTTCGTTTGACCTTTGTCTGTTTTTAAATTCTTTGCACTGTTTGTCCCTCATATCTTACTGACGGACATATCCTTGAGGCTGACATGGTTTTAATACCGTGTTTCTGCACCTCACAGAAGTATCCAGTGCCAGCCCTATTTATGTAATGTGAACGAGAGATTAATAATTTTCAGGGTAGAAGCCGGACAGATTTAAAATAGAGAAATAAATGATCATTTTTAAGGCCACAGGAGAGTGAAATTAACATTTTTGTCCCTTTTGCCATAGGGGCCATACCCATCGCCTTTCAGCCTGATCCGGGGCGTATGACAAAGAAACATTCCTTACACAGCAGTGGCCCATCTTGTATATCAGGTCAGTTTCCTTGTGTAGCCCCGGTTAAACCACTTTGATAACTCTGTGAGGGGACTAGGGGATCTTGTGGGAGGGAAGCCATGACTGTTTGAAGTGGTATGATTTAAAGGCTTAGTTCAGATGGGGCCTTGGTTTCTGTTGGACTTTTATGTTGGGTCAAGGAAAAAATAGGTATAAAAAGAGAATTCCTGGATACCAAGATCCAAGTATGCTGCAAGTACTCTTTGGTGAGCGAAATCTCTCCCAGCAGAGATTTAAAGTCACAAAATATGCAGCAAAGTAAAGCATGAAAATATGGGCTGTTCAACCTTTAAAATATGCCCTTTAAAGCGAGATCCAAAATGTCCCCTTAAAAGTTTATTTTCAGAGTTTCCCTCTTCCCGCAGCATAGGAAAAAGTCACATGCTTGGTGACTTCAAAAAATCATTTACTTACAAACTCTTCAAAGGTCAGATTAATGAGTTGGGGAGGGGGGATGCACAGGCAGTAAAACTTGGCTTAGTTGCAAAAGTGGTGAAAGTTCCTAAATTATTGGTATAGGGACTCAAGAGTGGCTGGTTAGAGCCATGTGGCTGAACTGGACCAGCTCAACCTCCTCACATGCAGAGCTTCTCAGGTAGAGTGGCTGTGGGGGACAGTTGGGAGACAATAGGCTTTATTGCCTGTTTCTTCCCAAGGTGAGGGAAGTGGACATTATCTAAGCTTGGCAGGACAGCTTACTCTATGGTATTAACCCCTTCGTGCCTTAATTAGACTTAAGCATGTTGGTTATATGAGGCTGCTTATCCCACACTTTGGTGACCTGACACAAAGATGGAGCCTCTGAAGTCAGTCCCAAGTCTAGGCAGGTATGTTTAGGTGCATAAGCACCTTAACTTGCTTCTTTAAAAAAAACAACCAGCCAAGGACATGGGCTGTAGATTTCATGACACGTTGCTCAGTCAGTCCCCTCTCCTTGTCGTCTTTCACAGGTGTACAATGAGGGTAGCAGTGGGAATCAACCCTGATGTGGAGAGACATAAACCATGGAAGGACCAACACCCGAACCTGTCTTTGTCGACGTGGACAAAGGACTAACGCTAGCATGCTTCGTCTTCCTTTGCCTCTTCCTGATCGTCATGATTATCCGCTGCGCGAAAGTCATCATGGACCCTTACAGCGCCATCCCAACGTCTACGTGGGAGGAACAGCACCTGGATGACTGACAGGGGAGAGAGGGGAGGAGGCGGGCAACAATCATGAAGCCACATGGACCAACCAAAAGCTTGCGCGAGAGAGCACAACACGGACAGCTGCCTTGCCTGGAGGAGGGCACAAAATATTATACAGCTTTTCCGAGATGCACAGGGCAATGTAGGTCCCCCTGAGAGCACACTGGTGATAGCTTCCTGCCTATCAGCCTCGATACATCGCCGTGTCCTTTCTCCTTCCAAAGGAGTGACCTCCAGGTTTTAATGAGGAAATGATTATGATTGTATATCAAGTAGCACAAAAGCTCTCTAGGCACTAGAAAATCCCTTCCAAGCTTTTTTCTAGTATAATCTCTATTAAGCACCTTCTCTCTGTTTTCAATCGTTATTTGTAATTGAAATGGGCAAATACATGCTATAAATACAGGCAGATGCTATGCAGAGATACCAGGGCGGTATGAGGGTCAAAGACGAGGGGGTTGGCATTTTAAAACGAGGGCACTCTTTACAAGATTGGCAATAATAATAATAAAGAAACCTTAAGGGTTATTGTTTTTCTCTCTGTCGTAACTGGAGTAGGTTGCAAGGTTGATTAAAAACCAGTGTTGTAACAGATGTGCAGAATACGGACATCTGCTCCTTGACTTTCAAAGCACAGGGCTTCTCCCAAACAACCTGGGAACTGTAGTTTGTTAAGGGCACTGGGAATAGTAGCTGTGTGGGGAGTAAACTGCAGTTCCCAAGATTTATTTTTTTCCAGGGAAGCCATCTGTTTAAATGCCTGGTTTGGATCTCTGATAGCATTTAGGTGACCTCTCCTTGGAGGCTATGCTATGAAGCCTCTTTGGAGCCTCTGTTAATAGTGGGTGACCTCTGAGGAAGAGTCTGCTTCTTGGCTACTTCTTCTAATAGTGAACTGAGTGGATCCATGCAAATGGATCTGGAGTCGATGCAGGACTTTTATGAAACCAGAGGGAAGTATCAGCATCTTCAAATGAACCCTGAGGTATAGGGAAGCATCTCTATACAGTGGTACCTTGGGTTACATACGCTTCAGGTTACAGACTCCGCTAACCCAGAAATAGTGCTTCATGTTAAGAACTTTGCTTCAGGATGAGAACAGAAATCGTGCTCCGGCGGAGCGGTGGCAGCAGGAGGCCCCATTAGCTAAAGTGGTGCTTCAGGTTAAGAACAGTTTCAGGTTAAGTATGGACCTCTGGAATGAATTAAGTACTTAACCCGAGGTACCACTGTATATCCACACAAACCAAAAGGGGGGCAAGCCCATGGCAGGCCCAGCACCAATGGTCAGAGGACTGTACCCCATGCTAGTCCTACTCAGAGTAGACCCATTTAAATTAATGAACCTAAGATAGCCATGTTCCTTAATCTAAGTGGGTCAACTCTGAGTGGCTACAACCCAAAGACACACTGCATTTCCCCTCCACTTCCCCTAGGTCCTAGCAATAAATAAGTCCGTCCTTCATATATATCCTGCTTTTCATAGAGATGGGCATTGGTTACTTATGAAATATAGGCCACCAAACATGCGCTGTTCTTAAAATGAATGACTCCCCTCTTGTTCCCAGTTTCACCGGAGGTATTTTTAGCCGAGTCTAGACAGTCATCTGTCAGGGATGCTGTAGCTGCCAGAATCATACCTTGAACAAGGAGTTGAACTAGAATTGGGGTAGTGAGCAGGCTTCAGGCCTCCAGGATCTGTATTATTATTATTATTATTATTATTATTATTATTATTATCATTATTATTATTATTATTATCATCATCATCATTATCTTCTCAAGATCTACCAACTGGAGCCAGAACCAAATGATGCACAATTAGAATGCAAGGTTACTTTGAGCACATTTGGAGCCAATGAATGTGTTTTTCTGTACCAGAATTGAACTGGGAGCCCCCTCACACAAAAGTCCTCTCCTGGTTTATTTTCTTCATTTCAGCAGCCTAAGAACAAGGCTCCACCTGCACTATACATTTAAAGAAGTATTATATCACTTTAAACAGACATGGCTTCCCCCAATGAATCCTGGGAAGTGTAGTTTGTTAAGGATGCTGAGAGGCGTTGTGACCCCCCCTTTCCCCCTCTCCCTGAGATCTACAATTCCCAGAGTTCCCTGTAAATAAGGATTTATTGTTAAACCACTCTGTTGCCCTGTGAAGGGAACAGGGGTCTCCTAACAACGCTCAGCACCCTTCTCAAACTCCACTGTTTCAAGTGCTATGATACTGCTTCCAGTGTGTAGTGCAGATGGGGCCCAAGTCATTTTGTCACTGCTATTCTCGAACATTTGGGAGTCGGAAGTCCTTGCAAAGCTTCCCCATCTGCCTTCTGCCTGCCCCTGGACAAGATGGCCTTCACCAAACTTGCCACATCTGGATGAAGAACAGGGAGGAGGCCTCGTGTCACATGACAACTATGAAAGCCAGCCTCTGGGGGGGCCAGTGGGCACCTTTGCAGTGTTGCTGAGAAAGAACCGTGGGTGCCAGTAACAAAATGGCTGCCGTGGCAGAGTGTGACATATCGCAAAATGGCTGCCACATCTAAACGAGCATTAAAAGATACGGGACCACAAATCGGCGTGGACACAGCCTTGCCCATCAAAGAAGATTCTCACAGAGAAAAACTCTTTGCACCTCTGTGGGCATGTTTAAGGGGGCATGTTCAGTGCAGGAGGTGCATACACACCTACGTTCCTTCCAACTACATACCGTGGTACTTTGGTTCTCAGACTTAGTCCGTTCCAGAAGTCTGTTCCAAAACCAAGGCGTGCTTTCCCATAGAAAGTAATGCAAAACAGATTAATCCGTTCCAGACCTTAAAAAAACAACCCCTTAAACAGCAATTTAACATGAATTTGACTATCTAACGACACAATTGATCCATAAAATGAAAGCAGTAATCAATGTACTGCACTATAAAATAAATAAGACAGTATTGTAGGTGATAAAAATTAAAATTAATTTCTTTTCTTACCTGTACTGATTATAGTCATTATTTGGATGGGAGGCTTTTATCCATTTCTGCAGTCACTCAATCAATCAATCAATCAATCAATAGCTGAACTGGGTTCCACACAGTCACAAAAACAAATTAACTGAAAAAAACTCAAAAACCAAAACGCAAATTAAATAGCAAAAACAAAAGCACCAAACTTAATCCGTTCTGAAAGTCTGTTTGGCTTCCAGAACGTTCAAATACCAAGGTACAGCTTCTGATTGGTGCTGGTGCGGAAACAATAGTCGACACCCACATTGGACATTCGGCTTCCGAAAAACATTCAAAAACTGGAACATTTACTTCCAGGTTTCTGGCATTTGAGAACCAAAGCGTTTGAGAACCAAGGTACCACTGTAATTCTAAGAAGTAAAGTTGAGAAGAGAGGGCACCCTGCGCCCCCTAGATCAGGGTTTCCCAAACCTGGGTCTCCAAGCTGTTTGGAGACTACAATTCCCATTGTCCTTTACCTGCTAGCTAGGGATGATGGGAGTTGTAGTCCAAAAAAACTTGGGAAACTCGGCTCTAGATATTACTGGACTTCAACTCCCATCATTCCCACCCCTTGAGAACAACCAATGGTCAGAGATGATGGGAACTGTAGTCCAGCAACATTTGGAGGGCCACAGGTTAGGTACTCTTTTTTATGTAGGCTGGATGACATTTTCTACCAGGAGAAGCCCAGAGAGAGTAGGGGAATTAAGTAATCCTATTCCACCTAAGACTTGAATCAGGCCAACTCAGGCTTATCCAGAACTGCAGCCAGACACATGACTACTAAATGAGGGTTCCTACCCTAGCAGGTAGGAGTTGCCAATTTTTTTCCTGGTAGGGCCCCTCCGCCTTTAACTGCAGCCTGACAGAAATTTAGCAGGTGGATTTTTTCTCCATCAGTTCCGTCTCCAGGCTCAGTTATGCTTGCTAATTTTTTGCCTGTAAGGCTGCTGTTAAATGCAGACTAAAGCTGGCAACCTTCTTCAGCAGCTGAAGAAGAAAACAGTGGCTGCTGATGAGAGTTGCCAACTTTTTTCTGGCAGTGGGCTCCTTTGCCTTTAACAGCTGTCTGACAGGTTTTTCTCTCACAGAGGGCAAAACACAAAGGAGACCAGTAGGAAAGGAGGAAAGCAAATTTTGGACCTTCTAAATACCTCATCTGCTGATGTTTCTGGTTGTGCTCCTGCATAAGATGCCTTGTTCAACGCACAGACAAGTCCCAAAGACAGCCCTCTCGTCGGTGCAAATTTCCCTTGAAGAATAAATAAATAAATAAATAAATAAATAAATAAATAACAATGGAAGTTTCACATCCAGAAAGGGCTGCAGCTTTGGGCGACAAGGTAGTGATTCTGAACTGCATGAGACAAAGTGCCTCTGCTAATTTTATTTTAATGTAAAATAAAATGAATTTTAAGTCTTAAATAATTCTTCCATACTGGGGACAGTTGCACTCAGAGAAAGAACACCTAGCAGAAACCTTGTAGTGAATGTAATATCTAATAAATGGCATCCAACAACAAAAGTGCTTTGTCATCCATTTATCAAACTTCTTAAAAAAAAGATGCCTCACCTCATCCACACCTTTCTTTCTTCATTGCATATCAATGGATCTTCTCCTATACACACAGTGAACATGGTGCGATGTGGTGGGGAAAGGATTAGGCTAGGACTATGAAAACCTGGGTTCAAATCCCCGATAACAGTGTCACCTGTTTCACAGTGTGGTCGTGGGGATAAAAACACAGCACCATATGTTGCATTGAGCTAATGAGATGAAAGGTGGATGCATGCTCAGTGTCTTTCCCCTCAGTTCTGATACTGCTTTTTTTTGGGTCCCTATTACTTGATAAAAGGTGGGGGGAGTATGATAAATAAAGAGGCAAAGTGCAGGTCAGAACAGAAATCGCTGCCTTCTTGCATCCCTAGATACAATATATATTTTTCATGCTACTGTTATAAGAAAAACCTTCTCATTTTCCCTTATGGGGTATCCAAGGGTAT